TCTCCCCAATCTGTCTCTGGTGAATCCTCTCACCCTCTGCATCTCTGACCTGTACCCCATTTCTGTATGAATAAATAAATAAATCTTAAAAAAAAAAAAAGTTAACAGAGATGACCTTGGTATCCCTCTCATTTACAGATAAGAAACTAGCTGTCACTGGTCAAGAACTTCCCAAAGGCCAGACAGCTAGGCAGAATGGGAGGCAGAATTAAATCCCAGGTTTCCTCCTTCCTGCGGCTGCTCTGCTCCAACAATATCTGGCACCTGATAGAGATGTGGTAGGGTGAGGTGAAGGACAGTATTTAGCATAGGCTTAGCTTGGCTTACAGAGCTATAGCCTCTTTAGCATCCCAACTAGCTCCTACTCCATTCTGGGCAAGTAGCCACCTCTTCCATCCAGCTTCTAGGTATATTCCACCTGTCAAATGGAAGGGTAAAGGGCAGAATTCTGAATAGAGGATTTTCCTGCTGATTTCGTATAGTAAATCACTTTGAAAAGTCAAACTGACAAAGGTTCTCCATTGCAACAATACCACATAAATCCAATGGCAAAATCATTTTCAAATATGCGTTACTTTTAAAACAATTACATCTTGGACACACCTCCAATAGCTAAAGGCTATGTGTTTTATTTCTGGATACCAGTTTGTAAGGAACAAAACCCCAGGTAAATCTTCCTACTTGCATAGTCCAACAATAAACCCACAAAACACTTTTCTGAACCTGACTTACAAACCAGCTAGCAAGCAACAAAACTACAGAGAGTATAAATTCATGCACAAATAGGTTTTTTCTTTTAATAAATTTGTTTGGAAAATAAATGTTTACACATATGGTATGAGCTCTACACAAAATTATCTCACTGTTCAATATGAGAGCCCTAAAGTTTTAATAGAAGAAACAAACTTAAGAAAAAGCAAGCTGTTTTCCATCACTTAGGTTTATTACTACCCTATTACTTAACAATTTAATTATTATAATTACAAAGGACTTTCATTTACCTCACAGGTTACTTCTCTATTTCACAGATAAAGAAACTGAAGCTCAAAAAGTTGAAACGTTTTGCCATGCCTCCCAAAGCTAGTAAATAAGCAGGCCTTGTTTTTCTACAATAGCAAGAAATTTTTAAAGACCGTTCTGCTTCAGTCACTTTTAAAATTACATAGACTGCTTGGCCTTTAAAAAAACAGAAATTGGAAGTTGTTTTTGTTTTTTTGTTTGTTTGTTTTTTACTTCTCAAATTCAAAGGTAATATTCCTGATTCTAGACATTGCACTAACATTCCCCATCCTTCTCACTTCTACATTTTGCTCCTTGTTTATTTCATTATGAATGTATATAGCACAACTGTTTTCAAATTAGGATTAACACATTTAGATTCTTAAAACTACTTCTTGATATCATCCGCAGAATTTGTATTTTTACTAACATGTGACTCTTTAGTCACTTTTAGGACGTTACTCTCTTAAGCAATACATTTCACGAGGCATACACATCTGTGTATTTGCTCTTTACTATAATTTATTTAGCACTCATAAAGTCTACTATCTATGCAGGAAGCAACCTCAATATTTTCTTTCGAGCAGGATTTTTCTTACAAACATTTTGGGCTAGATAATTCTTTGTTAGGAAGCTATCCCATGCACTGGAGGCTGTTGCAATAGTTCTGTGGTCCACTAGACACCAATACAACATACCTCTACGCCCCACGTAACTTCTAAAAAACATCTGGGACATTGTCAAATACCCCCTTGAGAGGAAAATCGTTCCCCAGTTGAAAACCAATGCCTTAAACTAGTCAAATACCCTAGTTAAGAAGTATTAGTTATGTTTACCAATTATTCCCAAATTATAAGATCAACTGTGTTAACTTTTTTTACAGTTTGAATTCTTTCCTTTCTCAAGATGTAGAATTTCTTGTGAAAAAAAGAAAAAGTCAAACTCTATGATATATAAGCCTTAGTTGCTAAATAGTTTTCAAATAAGATTTTATATATATAATACACTTTATAAATATAAGCTATTTTACTATATTAACTTAATATTTCCACTTTTTGAATCAAAAGTTTATGATAAATTTCATCAGGAACATTTTCAAAGAATAGGAATAGAAACCTTACACATTTTCCCGTTCTATTGTAATGGAGGAATTAATACATTGAGCAATAAGTGTAAAGCTCATGACTCTGGTTTCCATTACAACCACAAAAATGAAAGGCAGCAAAACTTTCATTTCGGAAAATTTGAAGCAGAGATGTGGACTGATAAAGCCAAAGGATTCCTTGATTGGACTTCAACTCCAATAAAATTTCTAAAGAAATGTGCTCATTTACTCAAGCTTATTACAAAATTGATGTTAGTAACTAGAAGATCTTACATGTTGAAAAGAAAAAAAAGTGAAGTGAAAGAAAGGAAAATTTCCTTCCCTATACTTCAACAAAAACAGGGGAGAAATAACCTAAAATTATGGCATTTTAATTTCAAATGTGAAAAGTCAAAATCCTCAGTGTATTTCATAATTTCAGTCAAAATATTTACAATCAGAAAGAATCATAGAGTACTAATGCTAGAAGGACCTTTATATGTTATCTAGTCCAGCTCTTAATTTTTTCCCCCAAGCTCCTAATTTTAACAAGCAAAAAGAAATAAAATAAGGTTTGGTAGGGAAGGAATCATTAAAAATGATTCCATAAACTTTACTTCTAAAAAAAAAAAAAACCTCTGAGGTCCTCGCTGGTGGCACAAGGGGTTAAGGGCAGCACTTAAGGCTACCCAGGCCACTGCAGAACAAGTTCAATGCCCTCCAGGGAGCTGACCCACATGGCCCAGCAGATCTCTCCTCTCAGGAACTGCTCCCTTCAGCAGTGTATTTCTGTCCATCAGCCTGTTCTGCTCACCACTGTATCTCTGGTGAATCCTCTTACCCTCCAGCACCTCTCATCTATACCCCAATTCTTGTATCCATAAATAATCTTTTAAAAATAAAATAATTTTTAAAAACACTCTGATGTAAGTAGGACATAATAATTTGAGTAGTGATTACACAGGCATATTACCTGCCATGATTTTTTCCCATAAATTTAAATTAAGATGAAGAAATTAAGGTACAATAAAGTAAAGTAGCTTGTTCAATCAACCATCTTTACATAACTCAGGTCACCTAAATGCTAGCCTAGTGACTTTCAGTCTTCAAACACTACTCACAAACTAAGAGGAATAATGTATATAAGTATTGGAAGTATTCTGAAGAAATACTTGATTCCTGCAGAAAGCACTAAACATTTCCTTCCTATTCTCTTTCTTCCATTATACTTCAGTGTGGGGTGAGGGCACGTAAACAAAGTATATATTACAGGCCAAAACACACTGAGCCAGTCAAATAACCATAACCTATTGAAAGCAGGCTCCTCTACAATTTGGGGCCACATTCCTAGTTCTTTAACATCGTCTAATATAAACATATGGTCCACGTTTACAATTACAAATTTTAGCAGTCAGATTTCATTTTTGGAATGTAAAAGGAATGAAATGAATTTCAACACTGTATTTTATTTAACCCAAATATTCAAATATCACCTCAGTATGAAATTAACATAAAAACTGAGTTGTTACACTTCCTCCTCCTAGTATCTTCAAAATTTAGCGTGCACTGTGCCTCAGTTCGCACTAACTACATTTCAAGTGTTCAATAGCCACGGTGGCTAGAGGGTATCCTATGCGGCAGCACAGGTCTACAACTATTTGGTAAGTGAATTAAAACTAAACCAATGTCCTGTGACCTCAATTGAAATAAAGAAGCAGCTCCATCCATTTGGGCAGTACTTTGGCTTTCTGTCCAAAGATAACATTTCCCAAGTCTTTTGTAAAATAAGTATCCACAATGATCCAAGAACTTAACAAGCAATCAAAAAAAAAAAAAAAAATAGGCCCTCCCTGGTGACGCAAAAGATTAGGACACAACACTGCAAACTGGCGAACTGGCCTAGCGGCTTCAGTGCCAGTTCTATCCCCGGACCTGCCTGCTACTCAGCTCAGCAGTGTACTTCACCTATCCGCCTGTTCTGCTCCCCACTCTGTGTCTGGTGCAGCTTCTCACCGCCCCTGCACCTCTGGCTTGTACACCAATTCTGATGCATAAATAAATCTTTTTAAAAAATTAAACGTTTTGAAGAACATGCAACCATACCATTTACTATCTACTTTTATCAATCTCTAAGGACAGAAAGAAAAGTTGGCGTAAATTCAGACTTGCAACCAAGCAGGTACCTAATTAGAGATGATGCTGGTCATTGCGTGATTTCCCTTCTCTTGCTCCAAAACAAAACTGAATGTCTTTTTATTGCGGGAAAAGAAACTATCAGGGGAAGAAATCACCTTCTCAGAAGTGTATTAAAAGAATCCCTACTTGACAGGCCTATCATAATCATCTTCCCCTGCAGAGCCCTCACCAAACCCTCCTAGTCAGCGATGATACATGCCCAAGACCGTAACTGCGAAACCCAATAGCGCCTTTCTTTTCTTCGTTGCCACTTTATTTGTGTGCGATCACGCAGCAATCCTCACTTCACGCGGGTGCAAAAGGGCTTGGGGACGGGGGAAATGTTGATTGTTCGTTTCTGTGCGGTTTTGTTTGTTTTGATGCTGTAGAGGCAAAAGGGTGGCGCTGCCAGCAGAGGACCGCAAGGTGGGCAGTGCCGGGCAGAGCTAGGGACTTGACCTCGGGCACCGGAAGGTGGCAACTCCAGCAGCGCCTGGATGAGCCTGCGGCAGCTCCCCACGGTGGGCCGGCACCCCCAGCCCCAGAGGCAGCGGAGGCGGGCACTGCCCAGCCGGCGCCCCACACCCGCCACCTGGGGAGGGGGCCCGCCGGGCGCCCGCCCCGGAGGCGGAGTCTCGGGAGGCGAAGGAAGCAGGGCCCGGACAGGGGCCGGGGCGGGAAGAGCCGCTCCCGGGCCCCTCAGCCCTCGCCCGCAGCCCGTCGGCCGCGCCCTCTCGCTTACCGCCCCAGATTCCCAGCTTGAGCTGGGACTTGTTCAGGTTCTCCACATAGTCCCCCAGGAAGCGGTTCAGCAGGTCCGCGACCACCGACTCGAGCACCATGGTGGGGCCCAGGCGGCGGGAGAGGGAGGAGCCGGAACCGCCAGGCGCTGCTGAGGGCGGCGACCCGCGCCGCGAATGACAGCCCCCTGGGCGCCGGCCCGCCCCCGTGCCGCGCGCGTGACCCGGCCAGTGCGCAGGCGCGCCGCCGTCGCCGGGGACCCGGGGTTGCGTGGACCACGCCGCCGCCGCGCGATTGTGGCTTCGCTGCTTTGGGGCGACGCAGCCGTAGCACTGTGGACCGCGGGAGAGAAGACGAGTATTAAGGGAGAAGGGGAAGCATGAGTCAAAGAGCTGGGTGGTCCTGGGCGGAAGCGGCTCAGGGCCGCCGAGTCCCCCACCCACCCGACGGGAGTCAGGCACTTTCTAGGCGAAGAAGCCAGCCTGTGGGCCGCCTGAGCAATCAGCCCTTCACCTGTGGGGTCGGGTGAGGAAAAAGGGCTCCTGCACCCTTGTTCTGCGTTATTTCAACTCCGCTGAGGCCAGTTGCTTATTAAAATACACTTTAATGATTTAAAAGTGGCAAGAATAGAATGAGACCCGAATAAGCATTTTATTATGAGCTGATTCTTTTTCTCTCCTCTGTGTTCGATATGCTTCGTTAACTGAGGAGGACTTCAAAACAGAAGTAAAGTATAATGCAAGGACTCTCTTTTAGTCAAATTTAACCACCTATTGACAAGCCAATTCTCTTTAGAGATCTGGACATTTTTTTTCTAAACTATATTTCAGAAAGCGGTGAAATGTCCTAAGTAAAATTAAAGAAATGCTGAGGTGGTACGCATATGCAATTTTTAAAATGCTTCGGTACAGGTAATGTCTGGATAAGTATGCATGAGTTGCTCTTAAACAGCTGCTATGGACTGAATGTTTGTGACACAGCACCCCACGACTCCACTAGTGTTGAAACCCTAATTCCCAATATGGTGATATTGTGAGCACTCATGAAAGCGAGTGGCACACTACAGAAGAGACCAAATGATGCTGCTTTCTTACCCCTTCTGCCATGTGAGGATATAGCAAGATAGCCTACTATCAGCTGAGAAGTGGTCTTTCATCAGACACTTGCATGTTCTCGCACTTTGATCTTTCATTTCCCAGACTGCACAACTGTGAGAAGTAAATGATATTTTAAATCCAGTCTTGTGGTGATTTGCTGTTGTGGTCTGAACAGACTAAGAGGACCATCTAGCCTTTCTTTTCTCAAAAAGAAAAATCATTTCTTAAATTTTAATTCCATTGGAGAAGGATAATAAGCTGTAAAGTGGATGTAAAAGAAAATTAAAACTAATATCAACCAATAATGTACACCCCCATTCTCCTAACTCCTGCATCAAGAAAATAAATCCTCAGCCATTTGTTTTTTCTAGCTCAGTTACCCTGACAAAATACCTAGCCCTTGGATTTCTTTCATCATCTATCACCAATTAACAGCCATACTTGTCTATTCTACTGTTTCCATATTTCCTAAATTCTCTTTATATCTCACCAGAGCCATGCAATCACTTAACCAGTCCCCTGGCCTTATATTGTTCCCTTTACTATCTAGCTACACACTGCCATAGGGATCTAGTTTCCTAAAACAGGTGAGCTCAGATCAGACACTCACTGAAAATCACCAATAGGTCCAGTGTTCAGAAAACCCTCAGTCTATCCCAAATCACTTCTAGTGCCTCCAACAATCCTCCTTATATACTCATATCAACAATACACTGAGGGAAATTAAAAAAATAAAAATAAATTATATATATTATATATACATGTAATATATAATATATATATACATATATATATATAAAATGTTGTAGTTGCCTTATATAGTATAGAAAGTTAAGGGTGTATAAATAACAGTGCAAGAAGTTATGAAAGATGCCACAGAATAGTGTGGTAAACCAAGTGGAACAGCTAATAACCTGGTAGGCAAAATGGGCAATATCAAACTTTGTCTAATAATATTTCCTTGCCCTTCTACAGTAGTTTACAATTTTTGAAGAATAATGCATTATTGGAACTCCCTTGTGGCACAGGAGTTATTCTCAGCATTATCGAGCTATTGCCAACCACTGCGGCATGAAATGAACCCCCCACGTACCTGCCAAGGAGCTGACCCCACACAGTGCAGCAGATCTCTCCTGTAACACCCACTGCTCCCCTTACCAGTGTATTTCAGTAGATCCACCTATTCTACGCCCCACACTGTCTCTAACCTATACCCCAGTTCTTGTATGCATAAATAACTAAAAATAATTTTTAAAAATACATATGCATGCTTTTATATGCCTTATTCCATTTCATCAATAATTCTTCAGTTACACTTCATGAGCTATCCTATATACTTCGTAAGCTTAGCTTCTATATCAAAATATGCTTTTTCATATATTCCTCACAAAAAATCTGAGATAAGTAACATAGCTGAGACAACTGCAAAACTAAAGGGATTGAGCAATAAAAACATGAGCAAAATATTTCTGTTAAAAATCAAAATGGCAGCAGGTTAAAGAGTAGCACAAGCTAGCCTCAGCCCTTCAGTGAAAGTTCGATTCCCAGCCCAAGAGGTGACCCACATGGTGCGGCAGACCTCACCTGACCCACCAGCTGCTCGCCTCAGCAGTGTACTTTGTCAATCTGCTTGTTCAGCTCCCCACTCTGTCTCTTGTGAATCCTCTTACCGCCCCTGCACCTCTGGCCTGTGCCCCAGTTCTGTATGCATAAATAAATAAACCTTTAAAAAAAAATCAAGGGCCCTCTCTGGTGTCACAGTGGGTTAAAGAATAGCACTAAAAGCTAAAACCACTCCAGCATGAGTTCAAACTGCAGCCCCAGAGGTGATCCACATGATACTGCCGTCCTCTCCTCTCCTGCCCGCTGTTCCCTTTAGCAGTGTACTTCATCAGTTGGCCTGTTCTGCTCTCCACTCTGTCTCTGGTGAATCCTCTCTCTCTCTCACACACACACACACACTGCGCCCCCACCCCGCATCTCTGGCCTGTACCCAAGTTCTGTATGCATAAATAAATCAAAATGAAGGACAGCTAAAAAAAAAAATCCAACTGTTGCATAAAAATTGAAAACTAAGAAATAATTTCACACACACCCTATTCTCCACCCTTGCTGTTTATTGAAGAAAGCAAAAGGAATATGGGGGTGGGGGTGAGAGAATAAATAAATAAATGAGGAATAAATGAGGAAGCTAGAGAATAAGTCTGACAGCATGGACTATCAGGAAAGTTAACTGGGAGAAAGCATGGCGGTAGACTGCAGGATGTTAGAGTCAGAAGAAAAATATCAGGTTTAAGTCCAGCCTCATTTGACAGATGGAGACAATGTATGTGAAGAAAAGTAAGGAATATGTCAAAGTCTCGAAAGTTTAATGATTATTGGATACAAAACCCAAGTGTCTTGATTCCGTAGTCTGTGCTTTTACTATTACTACATACTCTAGTTGTATTCGATGAGATGAATAAATTAGACTACCAGTATTTATGCTTGGTTGTAAACTCTCATTTTTCCTTGATATCCAACCTCCTGTAGACAGTCCTGCGATATATAACAACATTTTGGTCAAAGAAGTACCAGATACACAACAGTGGTCCCTTGGTATGGTCTTGGTGTATGATAGGCTAAACCATCTGGACTCCTCTAGTTATACTCTGTGACATTCACACAATAACAAAATTACTTAATGGCATGTTTCTCAGACTATTCCCACCACTAACCAATGCTTTTCTATTAAGTCTGCTTCAAATTGTTAAGTTTACTTCTACTTCCAGAGCATGCCTGGTCATGATGGTTTGTGATCTTTTGATGTTAACTTCACAGAATTTGTTTCCAGCAAAATTACTGGCCCTGTTTCACCATCCTCCTAAATAATGCATGATTCATACTTCCGAGGTAAGTAAAACAGAAGGTTTAATATGGTCACAGGGGACCAGCTGTGCCAGTGTACGTCTCTCCTGTTTTCAAGAAATCTTATACAGGAAGTGCTTCTTAAGTGTTATTGGAGAAGATGAATTGTTAATAAAAACAAAGTAAATCTGCTCTGCTTGGCCAAGAAGAGAAATGTTTTTAAAGAGGTCAATGTATGAATCAGCTAATCCTTGGCTAGAAAGAACTGCGTAATAAGAAAGAGGTAGCAGTTAGCACTTACTGTGTACCAGGCATTTGGCACATTTTTAATTCTCATACCAATTTCATATGATAGGTATTATTAGCTGCATATTACAACTTGGGCTCAAAGAAGTTAGTTAACTTACCCATTAGCTCTATACCTAAAAAGTTACACAACAGATTTGAATCTGGGACAGGCTCTAAAGTCTTTATTTCTTCACCCTTAAGTAATTTCTCGGGCCCTGGTGCTTTTTTTTTTCCCACCACATATTTCTTGTTAACAAGGTATCAGCCAGTTTCTCAGATTGTGAGACTCACCATTTTAAACCAAGGGTTCTCTGCACTTTCACTTGCAGAGCTAAATGCATATTGTTTCCTCTGAAAAGCTGAGTCAGAACACATGCACATGACCACCAAGTATATAATCTGGCAATCATTCTTCCATAGTACTGGCCCAAGAATTTTGTATAGGATTGGAGATGATATAAATACTAAACAGTAGGTAATCAAGGGTAGGAAAACCCAGGGACCAAACAACCCTGCCCTTCCCCCCACAAATATGCGCGTGTGTATGTATGTATGCATAATACATGTGTTTATGTATGTATATGTATAGATGTGTGTGCATACGTGTGTATATACATCTATATATATATAAAGAGAAAAAAATATATAGAGTGTCTAAAAGTCTTTTCTCACTCCTGCCTCAGCCAGATAGAATATTTTACCTACATTATTTCATTCCATGTATAATAGATGTGTGGTTTATATGCTCTTGTACAGCTTAGACCCACCTACCTAGCATTGTGGCTGAAACCTAGGAAACATTCAGTCAATATTATGTTGAATGAATAAATGAATTAGTGAATACTTTGCTTATTATGATTATAAATATAATATCTGACATTATGTCAGGGTCTGTGCTAAGATCTTCAAGTGCTTTATCTTATATACTGGAGAAAAGCAGTAAACACTATTATTATCAGAAGAGGAACAGGAGCTCTCCAGGAGCTCTCAGCTCTCCTGGGTCAAGAACCCCATTACTTCCCAAAATTGCTATCTCCTAAATTTTACATTTGATAATTTTTAAAAATTAAGGAAAACTGCTCAAGGTCACATGGCAAGATGAGATGCTGGAATCAAGACTGATTCTTGATTTCAGATCCAACTGTTTTAACTATTACATTCTACAAATTCCCTTCTATAATATATATAGCATTATTTTGTTACATAACAAATTATAACATTTATGTTATATAAATATAACATTGTTATATAATATATAACATATTTATATTAATCCCTGTTTCTATGCATTTGACACCATGCACAGTACTAAGTATTTTACATTATTAGATTCATTTAATCTCCCAAACAAGTCATTTATGTCCATTACTATGTATTTTTTCCTCCGTTTTCCATCACTAGGTGAACCTGGTTACTAGGAATAATAGTTTGCAGGGTTTATGTAACAATTCTAGACTACATTAAGTCTTCAAAGCACAGTACTTGTGTATTTATATCCAGGAAAGCAAATGCACATCTCCTGCTCCTTTGCATGAAATCAATTTAATTCATTAAACAGTATCTGGAGAAGCAATAAGGCAGTATCTTAAGCAGAAAAAGCATGCTTTCAAAAATTAAACAAAATGCCTATCTCCTTCAATCTGATTTAGCTGGACACAGCTCTTATCCAATGAATGCAAGTCATTCTATAATCAAAAGGAAAGGAAAGGGTCTCTCAGTTAAATACCATCTAGGAGAGACAGGTATGGTCAGGAGAATCCCAGAGAATGGTTGTAGCAGCCCAAGTTGTATGCAGGCGTCTATTTCCCCAATCAAAAATCAACACTCACAGCTGACTGTTACTTCTTGTTGAGACCTAAGATACACACAAATTTAAATGCAATTCTTAAACGTATGCTAGATAATAGTTTTTACACAAGGATACATTCCTGTAACCATTCCAAGATTAAGAAATGTAATACTATCAGCACTCCATAAGATCTCCCCTGCCCAGCGTGGTTTAAAAGCAGCAGAGAAAAAGAAAAAAAAAACTTAAAAGGTTCACAACGATGCCTAGATTTGCAAGAGGCTGCTAGGTAAGAATAAAACAAACCAGCCTCTTTATCGTCTTTTAATGGTGGGTGAAAAAGCCAGGAACTTCTGTGCATTCATACTCATTTTTGTCCTTCAATACTCACATTTACTCTGCCCTATAATCAGGGCTCCTTTCCACGTGAGGAAACTGAAACATGTTCAGAGTTTCCAGCGATAATGTTCCCCCCCAGCCCCCCAAAGGAGAAAGAAATAACAGGATCCCATAAATTTGCTCTGCTCTCCAGCCACGTGGCGAGGGGGAAGGCCGGGCATCAGGTTACCAAGCAGCACAGCTGCCACTCGACCATTGGCCAACTATCCAGACGGCAAATATAAAAGCTCCGGCTGCTGTCTTTGTGCTGAACCCAGCAGCTTGCGCTTTGAACTTCCCAGAGCCTTCACCTTTCTCCCAGTGGGTATCCCAAGCAGAAAGGCGCTGAGACCCATCTGACTCCGGATCCAGGTACAACGGGAGGGACCACAACCTTGTTTAACTCCTGCGGGGACTCGCCTAAGGATCTTTGTGCCTAAAAGGGAAGAGCAAGCTGAGTGTTCTGGAGGGAATAATACTGAGGTTATTACAGAAAGTTCATTCTCTCTGAGGACTAGAGTGCATTCATCCACGTTTCGATTGTTTAAGGAACGATTGCACAAGCAAAGCACACTTGGGCACCGAGGACCCGAGTTGGAGACCAACATTTTGAGAATCTCAGTCCTAGGCCAACCAGGGCTGATCTAGTGAAAGTAGTGAGCCCCAAAAGTGTACATGTAAGAGACCACGAGAAAAGATTGTTTTTCAATCACTGAAATATAGTTTGCAATGGCAGTGTGAGGGGCAGTCTCAGAGGAAGGAGCACTTCGAAAGGACGGACAGGAACTGCTGTGCCCTGAGGATTCGCTCTAACGACTAGTGTGCACTAGTGCGGTGCCACCCCAACAGCTCCAGAGGAGGGCCAGCCAAAACAGGCATCCACACCGAATGTGGTTCCTGGAACGGCTCCGTTTGGATCCCGAGCGCCTCCTGAGGGGCGGAAACGGGCTTTTCCAAGGTCGGGTCAGCAGAACCACGGCGGTCACGCCCACCACTTGCACAAATGTGCTCACCCCAGACCGCATCCCGGAGTTCTGCATTCCCCCACGACTCGCGCCCTGCTCAGCACCAGCTGCTCTCCGGGACTCTTGGGGCGAAGAAGTAGGAGCCGAGGACAGCTCCGGAAGCACTGACTGGGACCCGCGCTCTCA